AATTCTTGGAGCTCTTATATAAATATCGAACTCAAATAGATACATACATTGCATAAAAAGAAACCACAAAACTAATAAAATTTATATTAACAACATTAATTAAATGCAGTGGATGACTTGCCAAAACTAAATTGTCTCTTGCAACATGAGTATAATACTGACTGTTCTCAGGCAGGTTCTTTTGAATTTGACACGTGGCTCTGTCACGTGCCCTGAAATCACCCCACCCCTGTCTCCCACTGAACTATTCGGAAACTGCTTTTTGCTCAGCAAGCATTTTTACGTGTCTGCCTAACGTTAGGCCTTGGCGCAGATATATCATTTATTCTTAAGTTCACTTCTGGTTCTTGTCGTTAGTCCAAGAACAACTTAAATGACCCTGCCGGGTACCCAGGCGATTGTCATCACTGGTCATAAACTTGAGCAGTGAATTTGTGTGTTCGAATACGTTTGCTATGGGCTTTGCTCTTTCAGATTGTAAATTAAATTCAGATGGGTAGTTCAGACTTTTTACTGAACCCAAGATCACTGATCTCTTGGAGAGGGTAAGGACACGGAAGTGGCAGGTGTCGTCTCGGCTCTGCCACCAGTCAGCTGGGTGTCCGGTGAGACACCTGCCTGGCCTCTCTGGAGTCTTTGGTGGTTGTGCTGAGACGTTTAGAGGTTCGCCTTCCGCATGGCTCCCCGTGTGGGCTAGGTCACGGTCGCTTTCGGAGTCGTTGGGGACTGTGGGAACTTCAGGTAGGTGTAGCTTGGCAGTCCATTTATTTTTTACTGTTAATCATCTCTTCATTCACTTTTGTTTTCCAAATGTGCAATGCAGTGGTCTTTAGTGAAGACACCATGATCTGATTGTACTACATTCATCAGTCGACAGCTAGGAGGGTTCTATCCTCTAGACTTGGTGGGGGTGGCACCCTCAGGGGCACGCAGCCCCTTTTCAGGCTTCCAGGTTCTTCTGTAGTATCTTCTCCAAGTTTCATGACCTGTCTCGCACTGGACTTGAAATTTGAGCAGTGTCCTTTTTGCCCAGGTCTTAACATATAGCGCTGTTTCCTGAGATTGTTTTTAAAAAAATATTAAAGTGCAAACAAGGATCCAGTTTGGTCCCATGTTTTTCTGAGTTGGATGGAAAGGGCTTAAGTGGAGTTTCTAGTTGCATTAAAACTGTGCATTGTGTGGACTCTTTATCGATGGGCTTCGTGGGGCTAAAATGTCCCACCTTTGTCAGTGGTGGTGGGAGACGGTGGTGGTGGTACCTTTCCCTAAGGGGAAGCTGAGAGGGACGAGGGAGAGCACAGTAAGGCTGGCGCTCCTTAGCTTAGTGGTTTTCAGGCCGAGCTGCACCTGGACACTGGCCTTGTTAAAACGCAGGTGGCTGGGCTCCGCCCCCGAGGGGAGGTCTGGGGTAGAGGCTGGGTGGGCGCCATTTCTACCAAGTTTCAGAGAAACCCACCTGGATGAAGAAGCCCAGCCTCCTAGGACTTTCCGATGCAGTCTGAGCTCTGCTGCCTCCACGGCTCAGGTGCGTCTGGTGCTGCGGCTGCAGCTGAGCTGTCCGGGGTCCCCTTCTCTAGTCTCACGCACCTGCGAGGCAGGGAGTCGGACGTTCGGCATTGACCTAGCGTATTCGTTACTGTCTGGTTGCAGAGGAAGCCCTTTCCGAGTATGGGTGGCAGTGGTAGGGGGGTGTGGAGGCATAGTCCAATTTCTGTGATCTTTTTTGAAGAGGTAGCACGATGGATAATCTCCACCTTTTCCATCTTCGTAACACATAGCTGAAAATAGCAGAACCCTAAAGCCGAATCTCATTCTACCTGCCTGCCTACCTGTCTACCCGCTTTCCAGTCTTTCCAGCACTACCTACCAAACGTTCCTAATGATAAATTCTGTTTTCTTGGTAGTTATGAAGTTCAGTTGAAGATTTTAAAAGAAGTTCCTGAAATATGACCTAAGTTTCCAGTTTTAATGCTTTTAGAAAGCTGGAAAAAATGGAGAAAAAAATCACAAAGAGAAGTCCTTTCTAGGTGGTCGAGAAAGCACAGGGGTGGGCTGGGGTGAGCGCAGCGACAGCTGAGTGTGTGCGTGGGACAGCGCTTCCTCCGTGCGGGAGAATATCGTGAGCAGGTGTATGCGCTCCATGAGGCTTCTCAGACCTCCGTGGCTGTGTGTTCGTTGGGCTGCCGAGGGGTGGAGAGTAGAAATAAATGTAAAATTTAAAGAACCTGCAGTTTACGTTTGGGGAGAAATGAAGAAAGTAGGAGAAGCTCCAGCTCTGGGGCTTTGGACAGGATTGAGCAGGTGTATGTGTGTGTGTGTGCACACCTGCATCCAGGTGGGGCTACTGGGAGAGCCCAGGTGGAATTCTGAGGCAAGTTTCATCTAGCACTGAGTTCATTTCCCTATGATTCCAAAGGAATTTATGAGAAAAAGAGAGGTTCCAATGTCGAAGAAACCAGGAAGCTGAAAAGTAGCTTTACCTGGTCTAGGAAATAGAGCCACCTGAGCCTGAAGTCAGAGGGAGCAGGTGACTGAGGGCCTCGCCTTCTCGGATGGCTGCGGCAGAAGCACTTGAACCCAGGCCACACCTGCAATTTTTTGCTGTTTACTCTTTTCAAATAAGATTTTTTTTAGAGCAGTCTGAAGTTCACAGCACATTGAGGGGAAGGTTCAGTAAGTTCTCATTTATGCCCTGCTCCCACATGGGCCCAGCCTTCCCCACTGTCAGCATCTCTCACCGGGGTGGGACATTAAAGTCGAGGAACCTGCGTCGACACATCATCACTGCCCAAAGTGCATCCAGGTGTGTGTGTGTGTGTGTTAAGGTTCACTCTTGACGTTGTCCACGCTGTGGGTTTAGACGAACGTAGAATGACACGTGTTCGTCATTGTGGCACAGATTTGTTTTGCTGTCCTCCGCACTCTACTGTTTATCCTCCAGCCCTTGGGAATCACTGACCTTTTCACTGTCTCTATAATTTTGCCTTTTCCAGAATGCCGTACAGTTGGAATCATGCAGCAGGTAGCCTTTTCAGATTGGCTTCTTTCACTTCGTAATAGGCCTTGTAGGTTCTTCCATGGCTTTTCATGGGCCAGTAGCTCATTTCCATTTAGCGCTAAAGAATATTGCACTGTCTGGATGGACCACAGTTTGTTTATCCACTCACCTACTGAAAGACATCTTGGCTGCTTCCAGGTTTTGGCAAATATGAATAAAGCTGATATAAAGATTTGTGTGCAGATTTTTGTGTGGACATAAGTTTTCCACTACTTTTAGTAAATACCAAGGAGTGCGATTGCTAGATTGTATAGTAAGAGTATATTTAGTTTTGTAAGAAACTGCCAAACAGTCTCTGCAGAGTGTCTGTACCATTTTTACAGTCCCACTAGCAATGACTGAGATTTCCGCTGCTCCATGTTCTCGTCAGCATTTGGCGTTGTCAGGTGTTCCGGATTTTGGCCATTCTAATAGGTATACCTCGTTGTTTTAATTTGCATTTCCTTGATGGCGTATGATGTGGAGCATCTTTTCATACGCTTACTTGCCATCTGGATATCTTCTCTGATGAAGTCTGTAGCCCATTTTAAAAATCAGGTTGTTTGCTTATTGAATTTTAAGACTTCTTTGTGTATCTTGGATGACGGTCCTTTGTCAGATGTGTTTTGCAAATGTTGTCTCCCAGTCTGTGGCTTGGCTTGTCATTCTCTTGAAAATGTCTTTCATAGGGCCGAAATTTTTAATTTTAATTAAGTCCAGCTTATCAGTTGTTTCTTTCACAGAGTGTGCCTTTGCTATTGTAATGTTACACCCAAGGTTATCTAGTTTTCCTCCGATGGTATCTTCAGGAGCTTTCTAGTTTTACATTTTACATTTAGGTCTGTGATTGAGCTGATTTTTGCAAAGGATGTGAGGTCCGCGTCTTGATTCGTTGTCGTGCATGTGGGGGTCCAGTTGTCCCAGTGCCGTTCGTCGAAAAGACTGTTCTGTTGCATCGTCTTTGCTACTTCGTCAAAGATCAGTTGACTGTATTTACGTGGCTGTTTCTGGGCTCTCTGTTCCGCATCATTGATCTATTTGTCGCTTCTTTTGACGACACCACGCTGTCTTGATTATCGTAGCTTTAGAGTAAGTCTTGAAGTCGGGTCATGTCAGTCCCCTGACTTTGTTCCTCTCATTCAGTGTCGAGTTGACTATTCTGAGTCTTTTGCCTCTCCATGTAAACTTTAGAATCTGTTTGTTGATACTCACAAAACAACTTGCCGAGATTTTGATTAGAATTGCGTTGAATCTATAGATCAAGTCGAGAAGAACTGACATCTTGACAATATTGAGTCTTGCTATCCAGGGACATGGAATATCTGTCCGTTTATTTAGTTCTTTGATTAGTTCATTCATCAGAGTTTTGTAGTTTTCTTCATATAGATCGTGTATATATTTTGTTAGATATACATCTAATTATTTCATTTTTGAGGGGTGCTAATGTATTGTGTTCTAAAATTCAAATTCCACTTGCTCATTATTGGTGTACAGGAAAGCGATAGACCTTTGGATATTAACCATGTTCCAGGAGTTTTTCAGAAGGCCAAGCCTTTTGAAAAAAAGAAAGACCATCATTCTGTGTGTGTCTCTGCCTGAAGTAGTTCCCTCTTTAAGAGGTCAGTGTGGGTAGCGCTGCAGGGAAGGGGTCAGTCCCAATGCAGAAGGCCCAGGCCACGGCGTCCAGTGCGGGGGACAGGAGCTATTCGGAGAGGCTGACTAGGAGGGAGCCTGTCCCGTTGGAAGCTGGTTCTTAGAAAGGGCTGCGAAAGGCTGCTTTTCAGAAAGGGGAGGGCGGGAAACGCTTAACCGTATTTACCTTTTTAAAAATTAAAAATTGAAAGAAAGGGAAAATGCTGTCTGCTTTCCATTTCTGAGAAAGGATACATTAAAATATCTTGAAATTAAGCAGGATCTATAAAACTGAGGTCAGAGTATAGTCATTTCCCGTTTTTCCTGACAGGTCTTTAAACTACGTAGTGACAGAGCCGCCTTTCCTGGCATCGGTCGACAGTCGTTAATGCGTATGTTAAAATTTCATTTTATATTTATACTGTTGCACAAAATTTAGACTTCCTAACTCTGTTTTATTTAAGAATCATTTTTGTTAAATGCTTTAATTATTATTAATCAAATTTTTATATTTAAGCATTTCCAGTAATTTTTAACAATCCATTCCTCAGGCAGTTCAGAGAACCTGCTGTGTGATGATTATGTATTTTTTATTTCATAAATGAGGTCAGCGAGACATAAGTGTTTGAGAATTAGCATCTATCATCATCTACTATGCTGCGTAATTCTGTTCTTTTCATTGTGTTCTGTCTGGTTGCCCCTGCTGGACCATAAGGTCTGGGCGGACAGCAGTCTGCCATCTGCTCTGTTTGCTGATGGACCCGGGGCACTTAGAACAGTGCCTCCCACTTAGCGTTTGTTGAATGAATGAATGAAGAATTGAACAACAGATGTCATTTAGGTCTGCTACTCAAGAGTGCTGCTAGTACTTTGTCTCTGAATCAGGTAGGCAGCCTGGCTTGGTGGCTCCAGACACATCCGTGGGAGCTGCCCCTGAAAGCCTGATGATGTGGAGGAGAAGGCAAAGTGCAGGTTCCCAGGCCACGGACTGGAGGGCTGAGGCCAGCGCACTCAGTCCTTCATCTGGGACACGGTGGTCAGATAAGCCGCTCCTGTCTCAGGCGGGAGTGACGGGGGGACAGGAAGCGAACGCGGCCTCTGGGGAGGGGCCCTTGTCCTGTGGAGCCGTGAGCCTGGGAGAGGGACGACCCCGGCCCCGCTCCCGGTTCACTCACTGCCTACCGGATCACCCAGAGCCTACCACCAGCGACAGCTGACTCTTTCGGTAATGTCTTCAGATGTTTTTCTGTGCTGCTGTGGCCATATATATTTTTTTACTTGTTAACCTAGTACTGTAGTTGTAGGTTCGTGGCCCGGCTTTTCTCTTAACGTGTCGTGTGTGTCTTAGGTGACAGTGATCCATGGCATCGTGTCTGTTGTGACTACATGTTAGTATTCCCTTGAATTTCATGCCGTCATTTATGTATTTAGCAATACTTTCGAGGGTCTGATATGTGCCAGGCACTGGATGAGGAAGCCGAGGACACCAGATAGGCAAGTTCTTATGCTTATGGGGTTTATACTTTAGAGGAAAAGACAGTACCTAAGGATTTCAGAGATGCTAAGAACAAAACGGGATAGGTTACTGAGATGTGAGCGCTTCGGGTGGGCTGATTATGTAAGGCCTTTCTTTAGACGTGACGTTTGCGCTGAGCTCTGGGTGGTAAAAGGGGCCTAGGCACTGGGCGATCGAGGCAGAGGAGCATTTTAGGCAGGGGAATAGTGAGTGCAAAGGCCCTGAGGCAGGACTGCCTTCGGTTTGAGGAACAGTGATTACTCTTCGTGGCTGGAGCAGAGTGAGCATCTGGGAGGTGAGCCAGGCAGTCGGCAGGGGCTCGGTCTCGCAGGCACAAAGACTTGGAGTTTCATTTCAAGAGTAATAAGAAGTCATTGGAGGACGAGCCATCAGGAAGTGAGTGACATACGGATATTTTTGCAGAGCCTTCCTTGGCTGCTCTGTGGCTGACAGGGAGGGCAGACACCAGTCGGGAGGCTGTCGCAGTGATTGGTCGTCTTGGTAAGAGGTGACGGAAGCACACGAACACATCCTCGTTGTTAGGGTGGGATCCTTAGGCAGGGCCGCTGTCTCCCTGCCGCAGAGGGAGCGGTCAGAGATTGCTGAGAAGTGGGCTGCGACGAGGATGGAGAAGCCGCCCTTGGATTTGGGCACCTGGAGGCTCTTAGCGACCCTGACGAGTGGGGTCTGCGGACTGGCGGGTGCAGAGGCCCAGCTGGGGGCGCTGAAGAGCCAATGAGGTGGGGAGGCGGGGCTGCAGGTGTTGGTGGTTCTTGCCAGACAGATGTGGCTGGAGGAGCTGCAGAGGGAACGTGCAGTCGCTCTGGGGGAGGGGGAGGGCAGATGCAGGGCAGACCTCTGGGGGAGGGGTGTGAGTGTGGTGTCTGATGGAATTGGTTACCTGGATGAAGACCCTGAGTGAAACCTAGAAGTGCTTTATAGAGGTGGACATATCTGAAGAAAGAATTGATACGGTGATTTTGAAAGAAGAAGCAGGACGTGACTGCTGACCCTTCCGGTCGCTCCCGGGTCGCTGGACACACCACACCACTGTCAGCAGCCACTGCAGCCCCGCCCCCACCCTCCCATGGGTGGTTGGCCAGATCTCTGAGGTCGACGTAGAACTTCTGCCTTTTAAATCTATTGGCCGCGTCCACCAAACAGGTCCCTGCCCTGCGGACTGCTTCCGGAGGACCCATCTTACCAGTAATGGGGCATCAAGCTGCTATCTCCCGGAGGCCAGGCAGCCCGTGCATGTGGCTCTCACTCTTCCGGGGCTCCCAGGGACTCTGACCAGATGCTCGACCCTCTGTCTGCCTCACTGTCCTGGCCACCTGCTGTAGCTGACCAGGGTTTCCGGCTGTGACCCGGTTACCCCGCACCTCCCAAGCTAATGACCCACTGGCTTCACGCCCTCATGCCTGGGGGCGTGCGAGCTGCCACATGAGTCCCTCTTTTCTGTTTTTCTTACCCAGGGTCCACAGCGCCTGCGCGCTCCCTTACAAACACCCTGGCTTTGCTGCCCGCCCCCTGCCCCCCCGTCGGACCCCGCTGCAGAAATCCAGTCCCCAACGAGCCCTGTCTGCTGGCTTCTCTGTGTCTGCACCCACGCAGCTCAGCGTTGCCGGGGACAACAAGATAATGAACCAGACGTGTATCTCTCTGTACCTTCTTGATCACCAGCCTCCGGTGGGCAGCTGTCACCTCCCCCAGTTTTCTAGGGTTCAGCACCGACGCACCAGTTGGGAGTCTCCAGGACCGCTTTGTCCTCTCCGCCTTCTCCACGCTGGCCCAGCCCCGTCGTCATCACCACCAGCCCGTCCCACGGGGCCCGCCTGTTCACACGGGCTCTGGACCCAGCCTCCCTCTCAAGGACGTCGGTCCAGCGGTCGCCTTGCTTCTCCTGCTTCGTAATCCCTCCATTTCTCCCAGATCATTCAGGCTCACGTGCACAGGCCCCCTGGGTGACAAAAAATAAGCAGCCTCCCTCTCCATCAGTAGTAGCCCCGTTTATTAAAATCCTCAATGTCAAAACTTCTCAAGAAAGTCCTGTACTTGCCCGTTACCCTCCAGCTCTCCCGTCCATCTTCCCCAGCATCATACAAACCGCCGAACCCAGCGGGCACTCCGTGGCCTCTTAACAGTTTCCAGCGTAGTCGCCCGTCGGCGGACGCTTCTTTTGCCTCTTGGGCCTCCTCCCCTCAGCCCCCCGAGTCAGACCTTCCTTCTCAGTCCAGCCTTTCAGAGGTGCAGTTCGTTGGGGCCCCGCCCCACAGCGGCTCTCGTACACAGCCCCGGCACCATCTCTGTGGCCCAAGTTCAGCCTGGCTTTTCCTCAGACACTTACGCAGATGCCTCGCGGTCTGACAAGCCGTCCCAAACTGAACTCTGATTCTGTCGCCAGATCTGCCGCCCTGCAGCTGTCCTCATTTTCCTCTGGCTTCCACCACCGAGTCTGCCTCCACCTGTCTCGGAGTGAAGACGCCTGTGGACGCCTTCTCAGACTCAGGTCTTGGGGCAAAGCATATACATACGGGTTACGGAGGAGGCCAGATGTGTCGAAACAGTTATCCAAATATTAATAAAACGCAGCTTTGTGTGGTATGACGATGTATGTACACTGCAGATCTAGTGCTGGGTCTGTAACTACCATAAAATGAAGAAGTGATAAACACCAATGATACTTCATATCATGAAATCAGTAATAGGGATAAAAATATCTGAGATTTCAGAGTCACAGGTACTGCCTGTGTTACTGAAGTTTGTTGCCTATATTCACAATTGAACAAAATATTGTATTTAGTTGGAGGTTAATAAAGTAAGGATGTAGCTCTTTTCTCATCCAGGTTCATGGACCCCCTGTGTGGTCTTCACGTAATCCCTCCATTTCCCCGTCATCCCTGTCCCCGCTGCTTACCTGGACACCACAGGAGCATCCCGTGTGACTCGCCTCTACTCTGGACCTCCTCTAGTTTATTCTCCCCACAGCAGCCAGAATTATCTTCTTAAAATAGTCAAACGCAAAGCGTTATCCTCTTCAGCGTTATCCTCTTCTGTTGCTTTCCACCGTTTTCTGGATATACATTTGAACACGTTAAGATGGCCGCCGAACCCCGGCCCAGTCTGGCCTCATCTCGGGTCCTCAGCCCTTCGCTGGCTGAGCGGCAGCCACGCTCTTCTCCACTTCTTCAGTTGTGCTTTGTCCTTTGTCCTTCCTATCGTGTGTTACCCACGGTAATCTGTTGCTGCTTTACAGTATTACCATGAACTTGGCGGCGTTAAACACCGTACGTCTGCTGTCTCACAGTTCTGCGGGCGCGGGCTCCAGGCACGGCTGAGCTGGGCCCTCTGCTGTAGGGTCTCCTCCGGCTGTAGTCGGGATGTCTGTCGGCCGGGGCTGGGGTCTCATCTGAGGGCTCGATTGTAGAGCCCTCCTGCCAGCTGATGGGGTTGTTGGCAGCATTCAGTGCCCGGTGAGCTGTTGGGCTGCGGGCTCAGTTTTCCCGCGGGTTCGCAGCTGAACACAGTCGTCAGCTCCTCGGTTCTCGAGCCTCCTCAACATGGCTACGCGGCTTAAAGCCAGCGAGGGAGAGGGAGCCCTAGCAAGAAGGATGCCGCAGTCTCACGTGATGTAATCACACATGCAGCCACTGGCGTCCCCTCACTTGGCTGTGTTCTCATACTTTAAAATCAGCTCACAAGTCCTATCCACACTCGGGGGGAGGTGTTTACACGAGAGGCCGGTTTCGAGTCCTCAGTCCCCTCCCACCTGCCTTCCATCCCAGCCATGTATAGTTGGCGCATCCTTGAAAGAAAAAGAGAAAATTTCCAGGTCCCTGTCCAGAGTGATGATGCTCAGACCGAAGCCCTGTGGGG